TAAGCTACAGCTTAATGTAGGCTGAGTGATATATAAGCTACAGCTTTTATGTAGGCTGCATGATATATAAGTTTGTAGGGTTCCATACACTTACATGTACGTATGTAACTCATCATTGCATTGTGCAAGGTGGATGCAGTTCATTATTTAGAGGGCTCAGTAAAACCAAGTTTGATGAGTTCCATACACTTACATGTACATATGTAACTCAGCATTGCAATGTTCAAGGTGGACACAGTACAATATTTAAGAGGGCTCAGTATAGAAACATGTATTGAAATGATCTTGTTTTTGAATTAGTTTTATTCATTTCCAAACTTAATTGCACTGCTGTTGACTGCCTACAGTGAATTCATTTTACCATACATGTTGAAAACATGTTGCCACATCTTCAGTGGTACATGCGTCATGAATTCAAAGATCTATCTCCGTCATTAGGAGCACTTCCATACTTAATTAATTGTCCATGTATCCAATACTTATTTATGCAGGTTTGTTCGGCCAATATGTCTCACTTGTTGCATTGAGTATACTTGAGAGACAAGACAACCCAATATCAGTCTGTTTGCTGTTACATCACTGCGTGTTAGTGGAGGGAAGTGATTTGCAGCATAATCTGTACTGGCAAGATTTCATGAAGTACTATGGATTGTGGCTGCCACATGTCTTTGAGAAAAATTCCCTTTATAAGGTAACATTTCATGTTCCATTTTGGATATTTCTTGGGCTGGAAGTTAGCTTGGCAATGTCATCGATGGATTTGAAATGTTTTTTGTTTAACATTTGATTTGTGTCAAACATGAATTTCCATCACCACTCATGAATGAAAACTAGCAAAATTTTGTGTTTGTTTTATGCGACTGTTGTCTTATTTAAGAGTACTGGCTCAGTGGTAAACAAAGACTGAGTAACATTACTTGTAATTCAATAGTTTGCCTGAAACTGTCATTCCTTAGTGTCTAGGCTCAGTGTACAATAAATGTCAACTCTGATCTGTTACGGCTATTACATGTATACATGTAGTACAGTGTGTTTTAAAAAAAGGAAACCAAGATTAACTTCATTTCTTGCATGTGGCTAAATATTTTGGAAATTGGCAACCACCATTTATTCACTAATGATGACCTCTTTTTATGCCACCAAGAAATCCAGTTTGCTGTCACAGATGACTGAGCACTAACAGTTCAATCAGCCATGACAGAACTGATCTAATAATCTGTATAAATGGTGTCTTTTCTTTAGAGGATTAAATCGTCATCGATGGATCGCATAGCCATAAAGACCAAAAAGGACTGGAGATCAGTATTACGATCTTCAATAATGCAAAATGTGGAACTGAGTGTTAGTGACATGGAACTACTGTTACAATGTGACCAGACAGAATTGTTATCCATGACAAGACTGTTACTGATGTACATCAACACACTGCATATCCTAAAACCAAAGGTAGGTAGAGTATCATTCAAAAATATCTGGACTCCTGCGTGAATTACGCAGGCCCCCAAAATACAAAAATTTTTAGTAGCTAGGTTTTCACGCGTGGGTTGCCGTGATTTTCGCGCTATCCACGCGTGGTTTTCGTGGACATTCTCTTCTTTGACAAGATCTTCATGGGCGCCGAGTATGGTATAGGATGCCTGCTCCAATTTCCTCAGCTAGCCCTACATGTGCGTCCTGTATATACCAGTAACATGTTAACCTGCGTCAGTGCATGAAAAAGTGATATAGAAGTGACAGTATTTACGGTTTAATGATGTTCAGTTTCATGTTAAATTGTCACCATTTCGTTTGGATAATAAAAACACAATTTCTTTTGTTTACCACTAATCATCACCGTTCACATGCCACAGCTATTTAAAATTAACCACATTACACAACGGCGATCTTGACGCTGCACTGCTGTAAGCCCACACATACAGTACGTTCATGAAAAACCAACTGACATATACGTGTACGTGCTGTGTGCAGGGGAATTATGGATATCTGTCATTGGGATTCAATCAATTATCCCAAACTATCAATATTTTCTCGGAGGGATGTTTAGATGAAGTTCCGTTTGTTTTGTCTGGGCCATATAAGGTCACTGAAGGTGCATATCGTACGATGTCAATACCGTCCGAAAGGGCTTCAATATCATCCGAACAGGCGGTTCGGGCAAATGGCGTCATTAAACAACATGAAATTTTTTTCTGCAAAATCACTTATAGCTGTCAATTTTATATACTGAGCACGACTTGAACACGTACATGACCCTGAAATTACTGCAATAGCAAGTTTGATTTGAGTTTGATTTTCTGTAGATCCATATATGATTAATTCCACGTCTTCTAATATACCTCGATGTCTATGCCTGTGTCGACATGAATATTGTTTCATCTTTTTCTTTCGTAAGATACACGAATACTTTTAATTTTGTTCAATGATCATTGGTTCCGAATATTGTTGGTTTCCAGTGTGATTCTTCTGTCAAGTTAATGTCCACATGGCCATGATTGTGGACTATTCTATTTAACAGCTGCATGCGGGGATAGCGCGATCATGTTTTTCTTTGTTTACTCTCACCGCTTACACGTATTCTCATGCGTGGACGTCCACCGTTGTTCACACTGCATGAAGGACGGGCGAGCTTCAGTTCATTCATGTGTAGTACGACGTCCGGGCTACCCTGAACTTGTGAGCAGATTGCTTTTTTGCCACATTTTAAGTTCAAGCTTTGAAAGGGACAATTTTTCAAGCAATACTGTGCTACTGACACAGTAATTTTCACTGCAGGAAGAAAATTTGTGATTAAAACTGTAAAATAAACTTCAAGAGGCTCGAGTAAATCATTCAAGAATTTTGGCAGTGTATTAAGATATGAAGTGGGGATTGTAATTAGGAATTGAAAGTGGTAACCTACAATGTTATTTTTCCCAAATTGAAAAATTAATCTTCAGTTTTCACAATCGGGAATATAAATTTGCCATTTGCGCCAATTTTTTTTCAGCAGTTTCTGACAATGTAAAGATTTTCTTGATTTTACTTGCTCATTTCACAGCATGAGATCAATTCAACTTTTTTATGTCAAGCAACGATTGGTACTTCCTCACCAACAAGATTGTTCCTATTTTCATGTTCAGCTGACGCGGCCTTAAATGTTTTCTTTCATATCATTTGCATTAACATAACTAACACTAACACTGTAACCTACCACTTCCATTACAAATTTCCATTTCCCCCTTCCTGCCACGTTACACAACTTTTAAATAATTCATATTTTCTTCTGCTCATTTTTTGCTTGAATTCTAATTCTAATTCCCAATTTACAAAAAAATAGAGTATTGTAATAAAGGTTAAAAATTGTTTGTGTTGGTGAAAGTCCCACTTGACCACCTGATAAAAATTTCACATCTTCGTGATTTTGGTAAGGATCACAAACTAAATAAAGGTGTCAAAGGACCAGGGGGGGATTTAACCCAAACCCAACTAACACAAACGTCCGAAACTATTCAAGCAGTGCACTCACTGTAAAAGCAAGAGAAAATCACATCTTAAAATTAGATGGTCATATTTTTGGAATGAAAAATGTGATTTGAACATTTTTAAAGGCTTAGCTTGAATAGTCTTGGTCATGTTGAATGTTGGTTTAGCCCAAGTAATATGTTTCTAAAGTAGTTTCTCCATCGAGTAGTGAAAACAATATTTAAAGAGTGAAGCATAAATCGAGACACATGCCAGCCATACTGCATGAATGAACATGTACATGTACATACACTGACCACGAGAACATATACTGCAACTTGGTTGTGTGCCCTGGAAAAGTCTGGACGCGTGCACATGCACAGTTTGACGAACTTTTTAACGTTCCGCGCGGCCTGTGCGCCAGTATCGCGCACATTATTTTCTTGATTTTCGCCCCGTCTTTCTCTGAAAGGTATAATATCAATGCGTACCAAAAATCGCACACATACATGTACATGTAACAGCTCTGCAGGTAGGAATACGTGCAATGCAGAAACTACCTCGAAGTGGATGGTGAATATAATTATTTTGAAAAAGTACGGAACAACTCGCACAGAAACCACAAGGAAAAACGTCAACTAAAGGAAAACATCACTAAAAGCAGTCTATGTCTACAATTTACTGAATAAATTGTTAGCCAGTGCGCAAATAAGAGTAACATTGCATGTTTCCAAAATATAGGGGCAAGATCTAATACGTCAGATGAAAATTGTGAGTGAACGTTACGCCGGAGTTAGTAGTGGAAAAGTCATTTTACAATGTTTTTCGGGGTATTGCAGCAAAGATTGACACTTAAATAAAACTATTGTTCATTGAATAGTGAAAGTTCAGAATCATAAGGCAGCAGTGAAAAAAGTGATTGATTACAGCATCTAAATACAAAAATCTACAGACCCCATTTTGAAAATAAAAATAGTTGGCTTTTATAAATAATCAGAGTGGAAAATAATGTGTGAAAGCCGAGGGGATTTTAGAGGCGAAGTTTGAACACAGATTTTTTTCTCATGAGGGCTTTTACGTGGGAGTCAATACGAAGGCAAAGGTGACGAATGTGTTCTTTTAAAAAGGCAGGTCTTCTTTTTTTGGAAAAGGCCCCCCCCCCGATAGCGATTTGGTAGAAATGTGTACACATGTACATTGGTTCCATTTAATCCTTCATTGTGTGTTGTAAAGTTTTATCCATGAGGGGAAATACACTGATCGCAGATAAATTCACTTCCCCATATTTCCAGCATTCAGCTTGATATTAAGATGGAAAGCTTGCGGAAAACACCATGCAATATCTCTTTTTTGAGTCTGTGTGGTTCTGATAAGAACCGGAGAGGCTCAACATTTCGGACAGTGTGCTCTGTCTGTCAACA